CATCCAACGTGTACAAAGAGGTGTTCTCCAGGAGGGCGGCGCCGGGGGACAGTTCGTCTGGGGTTCGGCCTGGAGCACTGGAGGACACCCCTCCTGACAGCAGCACGAAGGCCGTGAACAGACACCCAATGAGGAAGGCTGCTGTGGAGGCTGACCTGGAGGGTGCCTACACTTCCAAATCAAAGAGACAGATAATCTTGGCTGAGAGTATTGAGTCTGAAGACTTGAAGGGAGGGGAAAGTCAAAGTTCTTAGGGATTGGAGTCTCTTGGTGTCTTTTAGTTAAGGGTTCTTAAGAGAATTCAAGTAAATTAAAAATATTAAATGGGAAGTACTGAGACACAGAGATTAGCCACACAGGCTGGGGTGTCCTGTGCCTGCTGCTCTCGGGCCCAGCTTGCACTCGATGCTTCAGAGATAAACCTTGTTGTCAAGGGTTGTCATGACCCTCATCAAGAATAAGAGGCTTTCTGATTATAAATGCCTGGCTGTTTATTAAACTATACTGTACTTACCAGTGATATTTTTTGTTGGCTTTTTAACTCTGTCTCATCCTAGACAACAGAATTAACAGTTCAAAAAGGTTGCCAATATTTATGTTGTGAGAATTTGTCTTGAAGGTTAATTTCCTGCTAAGATACGCCTGATGCAATAAATGTGAAAATAAATTATTAATAATTAACTAGTATAATAAAAACATTGGTAACACTTTTCAGCTGGAGGATGCCAGTACGTATATTCTGTGACTGCATATTAGGACTTGCATCAGAGATGGAAAATACGTGTACAGTGTTTGTGTATTTCCAGAATACGATTGCATGTTTCACTTTTTAATGTCCTTTACATACAACATAAATTTTCCTTCATAAAGTTTTTTCTAACACTGCTTTTCAATTATTTAGATGTATTTCTGTACAAATGTTTGAACATTTTGCCTGTAATTTAATTAAACAATTTATCTTGAATATTACTGAGCCCTCCTGTTCCATGGGTTAGTCTCTTGATTGAAAATATTTCTATTCCACGATTTTTGTATGCATAGAGCTAATTAATAGAAGATTGCAAGTTTTCTAACAACAAAAAAACTGTATTATGGTTCCTAATACATTGAACATAAAAATCCTAGAGAATAGTCTATCACAGCAGAGCAAATAATTTGAATTCTGCAGTCAGAATGATACTAATCCAGCAATGTTAGTGAAGGAGTCCAGTATAATCTTTGGACCCTTGCACTATCTCCCTTTCGTACCATGTTATATACGTCAGGGTGCAGTATGCTTGATCTGGCTGGAGCACAGTACAGCTTTGTCGTAACCTCCTAGGACATATGTTCTACACTTAAAAAGCTTATGTATTATTCACCTCGTTCACTGTAGCACCTACACCTTTTTTCTCCCTGGGTGTGATCCAATACCACTAACTCAACAGTTTTGTTTCCTGCTCTCACCATTGGCTGTCATTAAATTTCCTCTGCTTGTTTCTACTCCCTCACTCTGGAGTTGTTTTAATAAGCTGGCTTGGGGCTGTGTGCTGTTACTATTTTTTCCTGTGTATACTGCACATTGTAACAGTGTAAACTGTCTTTACTCTTTAGTAAATTGAGCACGTTAATCCATTATGTCTACATCAAAATCATCATGCTGTGTATGTAATATCAGTAATAAGTGCTTGTGCTTGGCTTTTTTGTTGTCACTGTTTCTTGAAACTTGTAGAGTTTTGTATATACTGTATTGTAATTACTGTACAAATTTTGTACTGCCACTGAATAAAAAAAGTCTTGCTTTTGAGTGTCAAAGTTATATTTTTATATTAAATTTGTAATTTAAATCTAATTAAAGAGAATACCTTTATTACCAGAATTTAAAGCAAATGTTTGGCACTTTTAAATTCAATCATTTTAGTTTAACAGTTTTCTGGCTGTTTAGAACTTATTTGACAGAAGTATATTTTAAGGGGGATTATTAAAGATTTCATATTGTTTTGCCAGAAGTGGGCAGTAATATCGGGTAATTCCTAGCAGTAAAGTGTCATTGAAGGAAACAGTTTGTGTATGCTTTTATAATTTAAAAGCTTCACATAAGGCTTTAAGATAGTGTTTACTATAGTAATTAGAGCTTGTTGATTCATAATATGTTAAGTACAATTCTGGTCAACTTTCACTACAATATGCTACTAATATTAGTGCTGACATGATCATACAGAAAGAATATTAAAAAAAAAACATTCCAGCAATATTGAAGCATTAATTACACCCCATTCCTTAAATATTATGTAACTGAATTCAAGATTAGATTATCTAGAATTCAATTACTACCTGATACATTGTTTACTTTTTATTTTTCCTATGTACACTGCACACTAACAATTTTGTGTTAAAATCAATATTTTGTTTTTAAAAATACTCTGGATCTTTCTAAACTCTAAAAAGCATCTGAATAAGGGTTATTTGCATTTTGTTTTGTTAGTATTTTTATAAAACCTCGTCTACATCCTATCTGTAACATACATATAGTTAATTTACTTTCACAGATAACGCTTGTAGAAGTTAAGTGATGAGAAATGTTTTTGTTTGTGGCCTTTTAAATCTGAAAATGCTATAACTTTTTTATTGTTTATTGGTACATAAAATGGTGTTTTTAACTATTTTACAGTTGGCTGCTGTCAAAAAACTACTCCACTTCAGTAAGGTGATACATATAACGTTTTGTTTTAAAACTACATAATTTCTAAAGATGTTTCTTTAATGTTTTTTTTTTGTTTATCCTCATAAAATTAATACTTTTACAAGATATATTCCTAGCCTCATAGGCCTTTAATGCCAGTTTTGTTTAAATTTTCTTTTATCCTTTTTTTTAACATCAGCGAAGGAAGTACCTGTTTCTCATGTTTGTGCTAATTCAGTAGATTCTTAGAACATGTTTTGACATTCTTCTGAAAGTGACAACTGTAGAAGACACAAGACAATGAAAGGAACATCAAATGCCAAAAGAAAATGATGTGGCAGTCATGGTATAACATTTCCATTTAAGGTTAAATTTGGTTTCAGCAGCCAGTTTCAAAATAGAAGGTGGAAATTTAGAATGTCAGAATCTGACACGTGTCTGAGTTTGTAGTCCCCAAAAGTCAACACGTAGCAATCTTAATTTTAGCCACACCGATCAAGAAAAAGAGACTAGTTTTTGATTTTTTCTTTTTAATTTGAATAGCCAAGAAAAGAAACACACATTTTGTCTTTAAGCCTAGGTTACTGTTCTCAAAATAACCTAAACTGAGGTATTAACCTACAGTATCTATAGTAAGATACAGGATACCTATAATAGACTTATTTTCATTCTAGACATTTTAGGTTTCAAGGAATTTTGCTTTGCTCTTTTTTTAGAACAATTACAAACTGTTCAGGTGGTTTGATCAGAAAAGGGAGAGCTCACACACTACGTTGGTATTGTGTCTAGTGAATAAGTGATAAGTTTATTTGACAAAAAAGAGATGCAAGCTGGAAATGACTCGGATGCACAAAATGTTTATTTAAGCAAAATAAATATGCTTTTGGAAGTCTAACAAAACAAGCATTTTTTTGTCTCTTTTGAAAGTACTGAGCTTTGATTTTTCTCATGGATTGCTGCACTTCCTGAGCTATTTGACTCATCTATTAAGAATGCTTGATTTATTCTGTTAAACTTTATTTTTGCTGCACCTCAATCCAGTTTACAAACATGGATTAAATGAGATTGGAGACTTTCTGTCCTGTACCACATTATCAATGAATCTGAAGCAAATTGCTGTACTAATTTATACTAGCAGCTACATCACATGAAAGCTTGCACCTGGCAGCCCACTGAGGTTAAGCAGGGTTGAGCCTGCTCAGTATCTGGATGGGAGGTCTGCTGGGTAAGCTAAGGTTGCTGCTGGAAGAGGTGCCCTCTGGTCTGTGTGGGTCCCAATGTCCCAGTATAGTGATGGGGGGCACTATACTGTTCAAAATATTGCTGTCCTTTGGATTAAATGTAAAACTGAGATCCTGACTTATTAAAAATCCCAGGATGTTTCTTGAAAAGAGTAGCCATATTTTATTGGCCATATACAATTTTTTTAATTAGGAATTTGTCTTTTCACATACAGTACCCCAACTTGCTCCCCATGAGACATACAAACAAGGAGAGAAGCTTGGGGTCAGAGTGCTGGGTCAGCCATATATACAGCATCCTTAGAGCAGTTGGGGTTAAGGGCCTTGCTCAGGGGCCCAACATAGAAGGATTCCTCTGCCGGCCACGGGAGTCGAACCAGCATCTTTCCGGCACAAGCACAGATCCTTAGCCACAGAGCCGTCTCACTGCCCTGTTTATGAGCTGTGAAATCAAAATAAACATCCACACGATATGACATCAGATCCACTGAGTGCAAAGAGTGCTGGTTCAGACCCACACTCTAACCCCTTCTACAAATCTGTCCAAAACAATGTCTTATTATTACTGTATGACTTGAAGTAGTACTTAATGTACAGTAGTTCATGTAGGACAGCTTGCCTGACTTCCTAGCCTCATTAGAGTTTCGAATGATCCCTTCATATGACAGACTGTAACCCCATCAAACATATGCACATATATGTAACTAATTATTCAATGGTAATGGTTTGTGAATTGCTTTATATTTCATCCGTAATTTATTTTCTCTTTAACCTAGCGCCCGAATTAACCACTTCCCAGGGTTTCTATTTTCTTGCGAGCCGATGAAAGATCAATCCATTAATAGGATAATTTTCATTTTCCAGCTTCACTGTCAGTATCACTCAAATTCTTTAAAATTTGCGAAATAGTCTACACTAAGAATGTTTTCAGTACTACATGGGCAACGACTTTTTATTTGCTGTTTGGCTAAGTGTTTGAATATGAGGTTAATTACTGGTACGCCGCCGTGTAAACGCACATGCTGTGTAAACACCAAGTGCTGTACCAATGAACCCTTAATGTTAAGTTCGCAAGACCACGTGACTTAGAAGAAATTTAGAGCGCAGTTTCAAGAAAGAGGTAATTTGCGTTTCAAAGAGTGAAACTCCTCGGAAGACATCTGATTGCATCACCGAGACACGATTTGAGACGAGCAGGAAAAGCGATGTTACCTTTTCCCAGTCTTATCACAAGAGTTGTCGGGGATGGGTTGCACTTTTTAACAGAGGTTTTTTTTAAAAAAAACTGAGCCCAAGAGCTCGCTCCCTGTATTTTGTGCGAGGGACTCTTCCGTTTCCGACCCATGCGCTTTCATGTTCATAGCTGTGATGTCTGAAGGTGGGCTTGAAAGTGAGCTTTTGCATGTAAATGCAAACAGCCTGAGCATTTACCGCAGATGTGAGGTAAGATCAAGCATATTTAATGTATGTAAAACAAGATGAAGAGGGTCTATTTAAAAGTACAGTCATGCAAATAACTACAAAACTTTAACAAGTTAAAAGGATTAATGCCATGAAACGGTTTTAGGAACAAAAATATTAAACAACAAACAAATATCTTCCACATGATTATCATTCGCAAGGTTTCGCTGATGCTCTGTAGTTGAGTGTCTTTTCAATATAGATAATTTATCGGTATGTACGGAACGTTGACTGTCATCTAAAGAGTGAGAGAAAACGTCCAGTTTGGGAATTCACTAAACTGGGCAAATACGTGATAAATACATATGTGCATTATATACACGACGTCGGGAAAGCTACTAGTTTATGCAGGGTTCCTTTTTTCAAATTTGCAACATTTGAAGTAATATTTAAAAACTAGTAACTAATGTTCATAGTCTTTCGCTATGTAAAGTTACCTCATAAAATACATTTCCACCAACGTATTGATTTTTAAAAGTGTATGTGTAACTAACAACTGATTATTTTAAAAAAGAACTGTTTCATCTTTAATAAAATCACTCACCGATGTTAATATTTTATTCTGTTATGTTGCTACAGGGGTAAAAAATTTAGTTGCTCATATCACCTTATTCGTGTTGTAGTTTAGGACAGCATTAGCTCTTTAATTGACCTGTGTGGGACAGCTTCAGAGTACTTAAGATTTCTTTGTTGTTATTTAAGATTAAACTGTCATTATCTGAACAGTTTTGTGCCAAAATCCTTCTTTTAGAAGAGCTCTATGTTGTCTTCAAGTCATACATATATTTTGTCATAATGTAGAATATAAAGATCAGTAGTGGTACACAATTATTGGAATATTTTATGCCAATTGATGCTTATTGTGACAGTAATTAAAACTGATGTTTATTGGGATGTGAATGAAGCTACTTAGGGATGTTCATTTGTCAATCATGAAAGTCCAGTTGAAAAGACTTATGCATTTTATTACAACTAAAATAAAACTATAAAACTGACCTTTTAATCATGCTAAATGACTTGTGCAAACATTTTCAACCATTTCATTCAAACATTCCACCTGTTTTTTCATGAGTTATGAAAGATGAGCTGTTGTTGAGAGGTCACTGGCAGCCATAGAGTAGGAATACTAATGTTTTCAAAAGAGGGCTTTAAAAAAACAGGTTGCAGGGTTGTGCAGAATTTGTGTTGCGCTTGCTTTACAGCTTTTTGCACTCTTCTGCGTCCAGGGCCATTTGGTCTAAAGGTGTCTTAATGCCTTGTGAAGCATTTACATTTTTTTCTTGTCACTGTTTAGTCTCAGAGCTCTGAGGACGATGACAAAAAATTAAAGAGGCGAGAAAAAAACAGAGTTGCCGCTCAGAGAAGTCGCAAGAAGCAGACGCAGAAAGCTGACAAACTGCATGAGGTATGTTGCCTGTAAATCCTTTCCATGACAGTCAGATTCTAAACCTGTTTTGTTACTCTGGTTTGTTGTATCCACTACTATGTATATGTAGAGGAGGCACCAGGGTGGATCTGATTAATCCTATTCATTTTAGTGGTGGCTTTCTGAAGAGGTTTCTGAAATTAAACACGAAGCCTTGCGGTGAAAAGCAGTAACTCTGTCACGTATTACAACGTGTACATGCCAGAAGGTATTGTAATAGACCGGCCTGACAACTGAACCCTTCAGGTTGCAACAAGACCCCAGGGAAAGCACAGTGTCAAGTCCTGCCTACCACTGCCGAAATTCATTTCAGACCTCACTGTGCAAATGCAAAAAATGCATTTGTCTGTTTTTTGGTTTTAAAATGTAAGGGATGCATTGTTCATCTCATTGTCCATGAGTAACCCCCAAGTGAGATTAGGTGTTTTCTTGGTGTTTGTTTTGTAGTAATGTGTGGCAACAGAAGAAAATCTCAGATGAATAACATAAGCTTTCACAGCAATCTGGTTTGAAAAGATTTGCATTTTTTTTAAAACGCATGCCTGCTCAACTCCCAGAACATCAATGTCGCTCTAGTCTGGATGAATGTTCCACTTTTTTGTGAAAAAACAGATGTGCATAAATATAGCAACCCTGTTGCCTGTTGATTTCTCTATGGTATCTAAACCTGCAATAAGATCATGCATTTGTATACAGTCCTTTGACTTGGTGTTTACTGTATCATGTGTTCCTCATGAATGGTTTTGAAGACATTTTTGTACCTTTATTTCTTTTCCATTCCTCACCCTTTGTAAAGGGAAACTACTCCCTATTTAAAAGACAACATCAAAATATGTCTGTCTTCATAAACAGTTAACCAACAAGTATTTTTTCTTAACTTATTATGTGATGGTGATGCTTGCACAGCCGGAAGGACTGACTGGCCTTGTTTTACTTGTGAAGTCATATATTATTCTTTCCTTCTCTGCCTGGCTTCTGATTTCCAGAACTACAGTAGTCTAGGAAAATTCCAGCAATTTACACTTCCAGCCCTGCCTCATTGACATGTCCTGACATTTATTTTTAAAGTTTGCCGGATACTGTGATAAGAACAATATATACTGTAAGCCATTAGCCTGAAGTTGAGGTCACCACACATTTGAGTGTAAGGTAAAGCAGTGAAAACCTTTTAAATAATTTAAAATGATTTAGGTGCTGGCTGGATGAAAAAAAAATCAGGACTAGAAGTGAGAAACACCAGGCTGTAACTATTGACTCTTTAAGTTCTTTGGCCTGTTCATAGAACTGCAGTGTGAAAACTGAGCTCTGTGGAGCAGTGATCATTGATGCACATGCAATAGGGAGCATGAAGGAAATTTTGATGAAAGGTGACAGGGACTGCCTACACTGCCAGTTTCTTAGGCTGCTTGGTACACGTTTCCATCATCTGTGTGAACATGTGCCTTATGGCACAAGTTATGGTTCCATTGGTATGGTTGCCAAATTATCGTGCCCCGTAGGGCACAATTTAAAGCTATGGTTATTTAAATTGGACAGCTCACTTTATATCTTTTGAGTTGTTCATCACTGGTTCCTGCTCTTCGCAAAGTATTTTTAAAACTAGTTGGAGTAGAAATGGGAAGAAAAAGGTATAGCAATACTGAAAACACTTAGGAACGCAATTTTTCTTTATGGGGGCTTTAAAGTGCTGTGTAATGTGAACTTGTTACTTGTTCCCCTGCTCTCGTTCTAGCAGGCAGTTCTTAGTCTTTTTAATACTATTTTTGTACAATGCCTCCAGGAACAGCTCTTCCTTCTGTTATATCAACAGTTTCCATGATGCTGTTTTCACAGTACAGCAGGACGCATGTTGGTCCTGTTGATTGAATACAGTAGGTACACAAAAGGAATAGGTGCAGACAGGAAAGTAAGAGCCATCGAAGAGTGGATCTAAGTGAATTTGCATAGTGCTAAGGTTTCTCAAGCAAGATAAGCTGATGAAAGAATAACAGCAAGTAAAGCATTCACTCAGGGTGCAGGCTCAATTCTGTAGTCCAGTATTGTCTGTGAATTCGATTCCTCAACTGACAAAGCAGAGCTAGCTGAGTCCCACCAGGGTTGAGCACATGTCCTGTAATTTTATTGGTCACCCAAGTGATTGTGACTCCTTTTCTGTGAAACACAGCTGAAAGCAAGCCAAATGGTGTGAGACCCAACAGTGGGATGTGTCAAAGGAGTGTGTTCTGAGTCCTAGTACCTGATCAAAGTACAGGATTACGAGCAGTAAGCCAAGCCTGTCAGTAAATGGAGTTAGGAAATAAATTCTTGCTCTTCTCAAAATACTTTTTAAAATATTCACCCCTGCAGCAGCTCATTCTTCACAAATCAGAGGGTGTTCTGGCTGCCTTGACCTTATAGGGCCAGATTGCCAAAACTGCATACAGGCAAGTAAACAGCAATTTGTTACTTGCCTCGTTACTTTTCCTGTAAATTCTGCTGTCTTATGACAAATTGTTTTAGCGGTTCTAAACTGGAAATGCATAAAAAGAAAAATTACAGTGATTATATAGTCAAAAAGACTGAGGACAGATTGAGAGCTGAGAGCTCTCAGATCTACTAGGAATTGGAAAAGCAAGGAGCAGGACCCAACATCAGTGTAGTGTTGGGTTTTTCGGCCCCAAATCACGCTATTAAATGAGAAAAATATATTATATATGCTTTCTGGATCTTTTGACTTATTTTTTTTTATAATTACAATCAACACAGTAAGTGAAAATTTTTCCTGTGCCTTTCATATTGTAAATACAGAAGCTCTTTATTCCATGTCGTAAACATACAGTATAAAATTCACTGAAGCATACAAAACAAATCACACTCATCGTACGTCCCGATAGGGCACCTTTGATATTCTGTTTCTTTTATGTCTGTTAAATCTGAAGTCTGTTAAACCAAGGGTTTACTGTGTGACATAGCAGTAATCAGGAAAACAATAAGGTTTTAAAACAAATAATGGCTTTCCCGTACTCCCATGCATATGCACAGACACACTCTACTCTTTGGTCCCAGTCAAAAAAATAATCACACTGGTCAGCCATTCAACAGTAAGGCATCGTGGGGAATTGTGCATCTCATGAAGCTGTTTGTTTTCAATTATTGCATAGCAAAAACGTGAGCTGGAAAGCACTGTGATGCCTTCATGTCTCCTGGGAGTGTGGCATCAAGTGGCAGCTCCGACCAAGAGGCCCAGCAGGTGACTCATGAAAGCTATCTGACATTTCACCTCCAGGAGTACGAGGGCCTGGAGCAGGAGAACAGCTCCCTGAAGAAGGAGGTGCAGAGGCTGACAGAGGAACGCAGGTACCTGACCGAAGCCCTGAAGGCTCACGAGCCCCACTGCCCACTGGTGCACTGCCCCATGAACCTGATGCCAATATCAAGGTCAGACATTATCAGCAGCTGCTTGCCAAGATAAGGACAGGAGGGACGTCAGGGAATGAAGTCTGTCGCACAGGAGACCGTCGTAAACTTCAGAGACTGGAGTGTGTGGTGTTTGTGTGTGGGTGTGAGGATAAAGCTGTAAATTAAAAAAAAAATAAACTGACAGAAAAAAGTGGGGGGATTCCTCAGTTGTCTGACAGAAAGCAAGCATCTTTGTCCAGGTGAAAAGAATACTCTCCTGCTCAACAGGAAGGGCCTGTTTTCTGCAACTAGGAAAGACTGCTTTTGTTTTAATCACAGTCAGGCTAGATACAGATAGTGCTCACTGTGTCTGTGTGTTCTCTTCAGTATCTTCTGGAATTGTCTTGTTTAAATCAATCAGGAGCAATTGCTGGTCAACAACAATGTGTTAAAATCAGCATCATGTGCGAAATCAGCATCATTATAAAAAGTATTCACAAAGTTACAGACCTGGAATGCAATTAAACAATTTTGTCTTGTGAAAGTACTCCTGTATTTGGTGTGCTAATTTTTAAAGAGTGCATAATTTACTGTACACTAAAGCATGTTAAAGGTGAAAAGGCGATTTGACTTGCTTTAAGCGCTAATTGTATTATGATTTGCCTCTGTAAAAGTGACGTCTTTAAAGTAATATTTTTCCAGTTGATCACAATGTTTTTTTGTCTTGAGAGTTGAATGTATTTATTATTTATAAAACATGGTTTACACTGGTTTTATGATTGCGTCTTTTGTGGTAATTATTGTTATATATCAGTATACAGCCTTTGAATCTGCAGTATGTTTTAATATTTCAGCTATTGTCAAAAAATGCCTAAAGCACAGATAAAAATAAAATTAATGAACCTGAAGGTTTGTCCTTTACCATTGTATATGACATTTTCTTGCCTTTTTTGCTGTAAGAAGATGTACTTTTCAGTTTATCAGTGTTTTCAGTTGTACATATGATAAATAATATCCATAATATAAATATATGTTGTCTGCAAAGCCATGCTGACATTAACATGGTTTCTACTTACTAGATTTGTTTTGCATATATACAACTTTCAAGGGTATGAAAAAGAATCTTCTCTAGCAAATCAGGTAACTTGAAAAATGATAAGCACATTTGACCACTATGTCATAGGCTGTGAATAATTAGCCATGTAAAGTAGTTGATGTGCTTTAAACCTCAAACACCATCTGTGTAGCTAAGGTTTTGCTATACGTCTGACACAGTTTCATAAAGAAACAGATTTGTCATTTTTTTGACATTGACATTCCTATAGGCTGTCCATATGTGTGGATAAAATCACCTTTTTAACGTAAGTACATTTAAAAAAGGTAAGTTGAGCTTGTCTTGTAGTTCACATTGATGTTTTATGAGGTGAAACAAAAAATAAATACGGGGAACAGTTCCAACAAACAGAATAGTGAAACAAACCAAAATAATCCTGAATCTTGACCTCCCGATATCAGTATGCAGTGTCTTGCAAAAGTATTGAGACTCTTAGTCAGTTTTAATTTTTTTTTGCTTTAAAGCTTGCTGTCATTACATGATGAAGTGGCAATAAATGAAGTGCACAAAACTACCTTAATGAGCCACACAATGAATTGAGTGGCCCCTGTGTGTTGACTGCAGTGGTTCATGTGGTTTTAGATTTAACTTGTCTCTGTGAGGTTCCTTGGTCAAGAACTGAAATTCAAACAAAGTCTCAACCATGAAGACTAGGAAGCTTTCTAAGCAAGTCAGGTATAAAGTCATTGAAAGCACAGAGCACAGATCAGAAAGGTACGAGAATATTGAAAGTCTCTCAATGCCACAGCATGCATAGTGTGCTCATTTACCAAGAAATGGAAAGTGCAATGTACTGCCCAGGTTCTACCTAGATCAGACTGTCTCTTCAAAATGAGCAACTGGGTAAGGACAGAAGTAGTAAGGGGGGCTGCTGTGAGGCCAATTACAACTTGGAAAGAGCTACAGAGTTCAATGGGAGAGGAGAGAAAACATTCATCAGCTAACAATATCCCAGCCACTCCACAAAGCGGATTTTTTTGGGGGAGAGGAAAATTCATCTCAAATCCAACAGGTGGTTTGCAGCAAAGCGTTCATGTAATTGATCATGCAAACATGTGGCAAAAGGTGCTGTACTGAGACGAGACAAAATTGGAACTTTTTGGTGTAACTGCCAAGTTTCTGGTACAAAACCAACACAGCACATCTCTCCCAGTCAATTCGGGGGGGTCTGCTTAGAGTTCATGGCATATGAAGGGACAAACCACATCCTTGCCTGGGGGAAGTCAAGAGAACTGGTTCTGTCGGCAAGAAAAAGGGCCCCAGAGGAGGACAGGGAACATCCAAAAGACACGCCGGAGTGCCGTAAAACACGGACATCTCCCACCCGTTTTCACAGGTAAACTCTCACTGAGTGTGAAGGAAGATGTGAAGCAGCCCGAGTGGCGACAGCCTGTGGGGCACGCGTGGGAAGTGTCTGACTCAGATCTCGGTAGTCCCATGTTTCCATGGAGATCTGAAAATAGTTTTGACGGTTGAATTTTTGTACCTCCAGGTTAAGAGTGGTTTTGTCCCTTCCTTCCAAAGGTCATGGAATCAATTAGTAAAGCTGTTATTCACGTCTAACGCTATATGCCACCCCAGCAATGACATTTAGAATGTAATTTGGGCAGGTGTAATAAATCCGATTTTTAAACAACAAGGCACCAAAGACTTAGAAATGATGACATATTACATCTGCCAAATGCTGAACAGACAAGGTGTCACCTGACATGCTTTTCAATGAGTGATTCTCTTATACGCACACACGCCCTGTTGAAGAAACCTGCTTTTTTACTTTTCAGAGAAAACAACAGGATTGCTCAGTGCGTGGCTGATTTGCAACCAGCTGCAGCCTTCCCCTTTCGTTTGTGGATGGAAGTTGAAAAGAAAGTCTACTGATGTCAGGTGAACCGCTCTAATTGGAACAACAGGGTATTGGTACAGTTTTTCCATTTGGCCCCATTTGACAAGTCTAGAGTAGTATTACACCATTGTAGCTCCTGAGAAGAAAATATCACATGGACACAGCTTTTGGTCAATGACGGCTACTACTATGGACAGATTGCAGCTCAATGTCTTGTTACGTCCAGTGCTGTATGTAAGAGTAAGGTCACTGCTACTAATCAAAATGATCAAGGACAAACATCCAGGCTCTCTGAAAATGCTTTCATAAATTGCGCAATAGGTGGTGATTGAGACCAACAGATGACCTTGCTGCAAGAATGGATATTTAAAGTTTCTTAAAAGAAAACGTAAGATATACCTGAGAACCAAATGGGCTCAAGGGGCTTATAGCTAGTTGGAAACTTTTACTAAGGAGAGGAAACCAAAATGAGCGTAGCTTTCATGATGAAACTTTGATTTCCATGATCTTGTCATGTGAAATTTTGTTTCCATAGTGATTGCCACATATCTCTTTTATGGATTCTCTGGACCACAATGGCATTGTACCATGTCAACATTTCATTTTTGTAAAGTGTAATTGAGGTCATCAAAAAATATTTTATCTTTTTTTTCCCAATGGAAAGCCCCGGAAGGTACAGTATGAGGAGCGGTAGTTGTAGATGAAGATGAGCAATCCCTCTGTTTTAGAATCCTGAAGATGCTGCTTTTCACATTAAAACTATGTGTCTGCTAAGAGAAACCTACTTCTGCTTTAGTGGCTGTCCCAATCAAGAATAGATGCAGTGGTTTTTGCGGTCATGTGCGGTTGATTCTACATCTCGCAGTGAAAATCCGAAGCAAATGAAAGCATTATAAACTCACTCAGTAAATCCCTAAGCAATTAAATATAGAATCTCTCGGGTTGAGAAACGTAACACAATAATTTGGTTTTGATCAAGTGTGGACTATGGTTTTTTTAAAAGCCTTGGTTTTTGAAGCTTTTTATTCGATTACAACTGGAATTCTTGGCAGAATGGGAGGAAATAACTATATATTGGATTCTCTACATAATTACATGTCCTAGAGTTGCCTTTTCTTTGTGTGATAAAAAAAGACAAAAAGTAGGCACTAGTTACCTTTTCTGGTTTTCATGTCCAGAGATGCGCACCTGATCACCACATCTCCACCTCTTGGCTTGCTGCCTTTGAAAGGACCTGATGAAAACACAGTGGCTGGATGCGGCTCCCTCTGGTGCTGCAACTCAAGTGTTCTGATACTGTTCAGGCAGGCACCTCAGGATCTGCCTTTCAGAACGCATGTGCTTTGAAGGGAAGAAGAGAGTTTAAGCAGGTGATGATTTACGCGAATTTATGCACAGAATCCCTGCAGAATACCAGCTCTTCCCTTTCAGTCATGTGTGGAAAGCTCATTGAAAAAGTGTCCCAAGTGAGAAGAGTCAATAATGTTCATGAGGATCTTCAGTCAGTATCAGCTGATAACCACATGATCAAGATGGACCAGATGGCACCTTTTCACCTGTGGCCTATCGTGTGCTCTTTGTGCATCAGAACACTGAATACTTGTATCGGCTGTGAAAAGAGTGTGGTCTGAATTTGGTGTTAGAGAATATGTGTAGGATATCCTGTTGGCACAAAAATAGTTGAACTTCCTATCCAGGTAATGATGAAGTATACAGTATGTTTGTTTTAGAACACCTGTCCACATCGGCCACCCAGGCTGTTTGCACATTCGGAAGCTTTCTATCTACATGGAGATCATACATTGTAATTAACATGATTCGATGTGAGAGCACATACAGAGAATTTAGTTTTGTTAAACCATTTGCAGGATGTGGGTTTTACCACCTCAGTGCCTTACAAGAGTATATACACAAAAACTAGAAGTGATTTTGTTTTGTTTTTTTTACATGGACCATCAAGTGTAGGTTATTTCAGTTTTTTTCTTTGTTCACTTTTCTTTCTGCAGACACCAGTGACAGCCCAAGGTGCACCAGTTTTAAATTTAATAAGAGATGAAATCATGAGTGCTATTTACCACTAATCTGTTCTTAGCAGCTAGAAGAAAATCTGTTTATCTTCATGAAGCTCATGCGCATTCATGTAATGTGCTGCTGTGAACAGGAAGTGATACGGACATTTTAAGAGGCCTAGAACCAGCACTTCTTATTTTCTCTTCCAGTTTTCTTTTTCACTTTGAAAACAGGAGAGAACCAGCCTCATTACTTGCACCCCAAAGGGATCTGAAGGTCAGAGAGAAGTAAATTCTTCAGAACACTATGCTGTTCTTGTAGATGGCTTCTTTTGCTATATTAAAACTCTTGAGTTTCAGTTCACAGCTGTCCTCAGTTTAACATAAATCATAGTAATAGCAAGAGCCAGAAAGCAGAACTATATAATAAGATTGGAGATCTTCAATTCAACTGAAAAGCAGACTTGCAAAACACATAATCTATTAACTATCAGGCACTTGTTTCTCAAGCAACTTACTGCACCCATTTATACAGATGGCCATTCTACTTGAAGCAATCAGAGTGAATTAACCTAACCCTATCTACTACTCAACCCTCACTAATTTATTATTATGTCCTTCATTATTTAGGCCTTCTGAAAACCCAGAAGGGGTACGTGTTGCATGTGATGCTGTTTGATGATCAGTTTCACTCAGAAGCCAAGTGCGTACACGAATGCGGTTGGAGGAACAGTAGTATAACTTTACGCTTGGTTTGTAAAGGAGCACAAATCTAAAAACAGCCATGCCAGGAATTCAGCTTGATGTCTTTAGTTTAACCTTGTAAGTGATGACTCTGCTAATTCCAGGAGCCTTTTTCCTGCTTTAAACCCCACGCTGCAGTTAAAATGTGTCTGAAATAATATGATTGGATATTATTAAAAACCGTCCACTGTCTTCTGTCTCATTTGCTGTGTT